TTAAGATAGATAACAGATTGAGATAGATAGATAGCAGACTGAAATAAAGAGAGAAAGATAGAGAGAGAGAGAGAAAGTGTAAAAAAATGAGAAAGAACAGATAAAGATAGATAGATAGATAGATAGATAGATAGACAGACAGCAAACTGAAATAGAGAGAGAAAGAGTGAAAGAGAGAGAGAACAGAATGGGATAGATAGATAGATAGATAGATAGATAGATAGCAGACTTATATTGTCATTAGTTTACGGGATTCGTTTAACGACGCCACTGACAACAAAAATCAAAACTTCTAATCGGAATGAAATCAAAGAGACTAAATTTGGGTGTAGAGACTGATTTCTTTGAGGGGAAAAATATTATTACTCAGTTACCGATGAGTGTTTCATAGATAGATAGATAGATAGATAGATACAGAAAAGAACTAGATAGATAGATAGATAGATAGATAGATAGATAGATAATGAACAAACTGAGATAGTGTTGTAATTTTGGCTAGTCCTTGTCGCTAAATTGTTGTAATCTAGGGAATAGAATAATCAAACGAAGGTTGGTAATGAACGATAATACTTAGGACAAGAACAACAAATATAAGATTCGCCAGCGGCTAGTAGAAGTAGTCAACTGCTAAAAATGAGTCAAGGGAATTCCACAATGAATTTCCAACTGCAGGATATCTACCAACCACCACACGCGGTCAGATGTGGCACAGAGCCGAATTTAATGAGGGGTATCCGAGCCCGTAAGATCGGCCAAAATTTCCCCGTAGGCCACGTGTATAACGGGATGGGAAGCTGTTTCTTGAGACGAGACGCTGCCCTTCGACATAGCTTAGACTCAGGGATCCTCTGACTGGAGGCAGAACGTTTGATCAGAACAGCTGGAGACGAATCTTTGACTGCAGATCAACATACCGTATTTCATACTGTATTTATGTGAATGGGGACATAAGCATTATCCTCCACAGTTATGCTGTATAGATAGATAGATAGATAGATAGATAGATAGAAACAGAATGGAATAGATAGATAGATAGATAGATAGATAGATAGATAGAAACAGAATGGGATAGATAAAAACAGAATGGGATAGATAGATACAGAATGGGATAGATAGATAGATAGATAGATAGATAGATAGATAGATAGTGTGAATGAGTGGAGAATGATAAAAAAGAAAGAGATATAGCAGAGAAAGAAAGAATGAGAGAGAGTGAGAGAGAGAGAGAGAGTGAAGAAGAGGGGCTAGATGGAATCGTGAAATATGGATTTGACCCCAACATCTATATATCTATATTTTCTCTCTCTCTCTCCCTCACCATCTCTCTCTCTCTATCTCTCTCGCTATATATATATATATATATATATATATTATAAAATCTGTGTATTTTGACAGCAAATACTCTTTCAGACATGTCTGACTGAATAAATTACAAAAAATATGTATATATATATATATATATAAGGCTCAAACACTAATATTCCATGGTTATAATTTATTACATTGGAATTGTTCTAGCTGGATTCTGTCCTCTTGGGAATTTATGTATACATGTATACACACGCACATACACACACACAGACACTCAGATATATATATATATATATATATATATATATATATATATATATATATATATATATATATCAGTAGCGATGGATACATTGTCGTCTAAATTACGCAAAAGGAAAATAACACTGAAATCTCATTTTAATAGATACGTTGACCAAAATTAAATAAAAATATCTTGAAATAGTAACGAGTAAATTTATTCAATAAAATCGTCATTGGCTTGAACGACGGCCTCCAGACGACTTCGGAATCTCCTGCAACTCTTCGACGGTCACCTTGTTTAATTTGGCACATGCTGCCATAATCCTTGCCATCAGTTCATCTTTGGTGTTACAAGAAATTTTGTTGGTCTCTCGCACAACTCAGCCCCACACAGAATAATCAAGAGGGATGTAGTGTGGGGAGATATATCACCAGATGTAAGGGGGGATGTCTAGGTTCTCCTTTTGTACCAAGCTACGCAATCTAATAGCCACCTTCTTGACCCATAGCAGAAGTAACCCTTCACGGCACTTGATGTAGGTCTCTGTGTTGAGTCTAAGGCCCTGTGGAAATATGAATGGGGATATAAGGGCCCCATTTAATAGCGATGACTCCAAACAACATGATGTTGACTGGAAATATCATTCAACTTTCTCTGAATTCTCTGTACTGTCCTCAGATTGACAGCTAAATACTCTGAAATGATTATATTGTGGTTGCCGATGAGAATGCCGTTTCCAGATTTCTGACGGAGTGAATTGCGTCATGGAGCTCTTTTTCCTCTCACAGACGGTGCCCAACTGACCCTACTATTGTAATAATTATCCATCGCACCTATATATATATATATATATATATATATATATATATATATATATATATATAAGCTTAAAATTTATAGTATTATATGATAATAGTGACCAATATCAGTGGAGAGCTTCTCTATATGCCGTGTGGACACAGAGATCAACATGTCTATCTCTCTTATTCTCTCTCTCGCTTTTCTCTCTCTCTAAATCTGTATAAATACTCACACACACACACACACACACACATATATATATGTATATATATATATATGTATACAATTATATCTATGTTTATAGTAAAATATATTAAATAAATTAGAAAGATTTATAGAGAGTTATTAACGAACTTAGATAGATAGATAGATAGATAGATAGATAGATATTAACAGACTAAGATAGATAGATAGATAGATAGATAGAAAAATGAGAGAGTGTGGCGGTATATAAACGTCGAAAGAGGCTTTGATCTCATTAGCATAATCCGTATTTGATTGGATTTAGATCTCTAAACACCAACTGGTATGAAATCAATTAAACCAGAGACGAAAAGTTGAAAAAAAAGAAAATATATTCTAAGATAAAAATAATTTTTTTAGTGAAGTGAAAAAGATAGATTTTGATGACGTGATGTCCTTTTGCTGTCAATCTGTGGCTAATTACAAATGACAATTATATTTTCTTCCAATGTTTAATTCTTTTCACGCCTGATAAAATTAATCAGAAGAAAATGTCATTTTAATGATTTGTATTACTTTTCAAATTGATTCTTCAGCAAAATAATTATCAGAAGTCGACGGAACTCTACAGACATTTGGTGCCTTACCAAAGACCGTTGATTGGTGAGTTCGTCTCATAGACCATTGCAAGGGACGTGAGTTCAATCCCAAACGGAGTTCGATACCTATCCAGTAAATCACACTTGGATGCAACTATCTCATTCTTTTCATATCTATCTCTCTTAGTCTGTTCTGTGTTTGTCTATCTATCTATCAATCTATTTTAGTCTGTTCTTTGTCTATCTTAGTCTGTTGCGTATCTATCTATCTATCTTAGTCTGTTCTTTATCTATCTATCTATCTATCTATCTATATTTGTTCATATTTATCTATCTCACTCTGTTCATATCTATCTATCTATCTATCTATCTATCCCACTCTGTTCATATCTATCTATCTTAGTGTGTTCTTTATCTATCTATCTCATTCTGTTCATATCTATCTCACTCTGTTCATATCTATCTATCTATCTATCTATCTATCTGATTCTCTTCATATCTATCTATCTATCTATCTATCTATCTATCTATCTATCTATCCTTATATACGTTTCTCAAAACCTTCTGATCGGAGGCCTTACTTTCAGATATAGTTTCTCGTCTTACCCAGGAAGCGGATGTAGTTTCTCGTCATACCTGTAAACATACATTGATATAAGGTTTCCTGTGAGAAAAAAAATCAGTTTGACCGCTCATATGACCTTAAGTTGATTTTGTTGATTATTATTATTATGATTATTTTTTCTTTCTTTTGGAAATCGTTTACAGTAGACAATTCTTGCCTTGTTCGGGTTGAGATATTTCCCTTCATAAGTAGAAGTGTTTCGGTGAATCAACATAGTTTATTGAGTTTATGAAAGCGCTTTTCTTTTCATTCATGAAAGATACATAATCCTGTCTTTTGAATTCCTGATAATCCCGGAAGCTTCTAACTTTCCGTCTCGGGAATATTGGAAAACAATTTTACCTGGTAGGTAGCCCACGGAGAAATGATAACCTAAAATGCAGATTCTGTGATAAATATCCCGAAACAATGCATCATCTTGTATAGGTTTGCATGGTATTGGCACCCACTGAATATGAAACCCGGCATGACAGAGTGGGCCAATATCTGCACTGGAAAATCTGCAACTCCTACGGCAAGGAAACTGAAAGAATTTGGTATGAACACCACCCAGACCCTGTTACGGAGATAGGACCTGTGACAATTTTATGGGATTTCACAATATACACAGATAGAACAATCAAATCCAGCCGCCCAGATATTGTTATTAAAGACCACAAACAAAAAAATTGCCTCCTTATTGATATGGCAGTCCCTGCTGACTGCAATGTATCTTTGAAGATATTCAAAAAGCTGTCAAAATACAAGGACCTTGAAATCGAAATCTCAGAAATGTGGCATATGGGAACATCAACAATCCCTGTTGTAGTTGTAGCCATAGGATTGGTTGGAAAAGATTGCCGTAGACTAGTTAAAGTGATTCCTGGAAGTCCATGCTTCAAAGAAATACAAAATTTGTTCTCACAAGTACAGGCCGCACTTTACGAAGGGCTTTATCTATTATTTTTTATTTTTTTTTATTTTTTTTTTTTTGTTAGTGGAAAGTTTCAGGATTCCATTTCTAACCCTTAGGTCTCTGGTTGGGACCCGGAAAGAAATTTGTACACGCCAGAAATCAAAGGAAATAAAAACAATAATAATATACCTGGAAACTACAGAAGACTATAAAGAACATGAAAGAAATAAGGAACGTTATTCTGTAATAAATGAAACCAACAAATTCAAAAGGGAATTTCAAGTGGGTGTAGAAGTGCAAATAAACCATAATGCACCTACTGCAGTAGCAATGAACCTAGAAAAGAAATGCAGAAACGATAGCAAGATAAGCCTCTTTATAGTTTATACTCTGCCTGTACCAAACAAACTGATGTAGACAATCCCTGTACAAATCACTTGTAAGAGAGAGAGAGAAAGAGAAAGAGAGAGAGAAAGAGAGAGAGAAAGAGAGAGAGAGAGAGAATAGAATAGAATATTGAATATTTAAATATCAGTGGATTGTCTCATAAGAAAACAACAAAATTTCAAAACATGCAGCAGAGAACTGAAATGTATAAATACAGTGTAACCCGGATGTAAGAGACCCGGATATAAGAGAAACCCGGATATAAGAGAGATTTTATCTAGTCCCAAATTAGAGCCTGTGTTAATGTATATAAAATAGACCAAACTCGAATATAATAGAAACCCGGATATAAGAGACTTCTTCTCCGGTCCCGACAACTCTCTTACATCCGGGTTACACTGTAGAAGCTTTTTCTGAAATAATTTGATCATTTTAATTATAAAATAAAATAAAGGTACTTATCAAATGCGAAATACAATTTGAGCTCACCGTATGCATTAACTCGAACACACACACTCCCAGAGACTCACTAAAAAAAAAATCACTGTTAATAACTCATTCTTGAACTGATCCCTCTAATAATCGGATAACCCTCTATCACGTTGGTCGGGCCACCACCAAAACAGATGTGACAGCAATATTAAAAGCATTAATGTGAACTTGAGTTTGTACGAAAAATTAACACAACTAACCGGGAATTCGATCCTGGCCCGCTGATTTTCCTTTCCACACCAATGCCCATTACACCTGCCGCACACCCATAACGCATTTACCTTTTAAATATTTTCAAAACTTTTCAAGGCGCTACGTTAAAGCATGCCTTCCTGTAACGGCTTGGTAGGGTGTCTGTCATATGAGGTCCGTAAATCTAAGATGGTTACGCTTCACAGACTTTCGGCTTTTATACGGTGGCCTATTTCTTTGCGATTTCAGAATGGGGAAAGTGGAGGGATATTGCCCATTGAGCTGAGAAACGGTCGACCTATCAGAAGTAAGACATAAATCTAGGAAATCTTTTGATAAAATTCAGCGTAAAGCCGCCGTCAAGTCGAGCGTCTAAAGCTCTTTGAAAGTGACCCTTCATCTCAAATACAAACACAGGCAAACGAAGACCTGGGAGGTCTGTATCGAATGGCGTTTTATGAGCCACTTAATTTGCATGACAGGACGCGGTGAAGTTCAAATTTTAATCGGAGACGTTTCAAATAAAAACACCTGGTCAGATGATACAGTTTAGTTTAAATGATTTCAACTATTTCAACGTTGAAGAGACTTTGAAGACGAGACAAGAGAGAGAGGGTTTATCAAGTAACCCGTTAATTTGTCCAGCGAATGAATTTACTGACTAGACAAGTGTCATTTAAAGAGTAGAAATCAACACTTTCAAGCGTGGAAGAAATCCAGTCAACTTTACCCCGGAAAACAATGGGTTAGGGTTAGTGTTAGAGATCATATTTTCGTTATTATGCCCTTGCGTTTGCAACCAGGACGTGTGCAAGATTATCCTCTCCCACCCAATCTAGGACAGCCTCCTGAATTTATGATACGAGACCCCAATATCTCAATTTTCATATCTTACAAGGTTAAGTCAAAAATTATTTTCACTTTCGTAATAACACATCTTTAGTTTTATTCATCTGCCTTCTGCGCATGCGTGCTTATAATTGGTACTATTTTCGTCAGATAATCGAAATTTGAGTTGGATCACGCTGCTTACAAGGGTGGTTTTCTCATCTCAAATATATGGCAAGGGCAACGAAGTGATACTCTCAGGGTTCTGACAAAGCCTGTCATATACGCGTCCAAATACTAACGAAGGATGATATCTTGTAGTAGACGCTTACAGTGCATTATATATATATATATATATATATATATATATATATATATGTGTGTGTGTGTGTGTGTGTGTGTGTGTGAAAATATATAGAAAATAGGAAAGAACTCGTTAGGTAAATAATCCAAAGTTCTTTACTATTTTTGTTATTATTTTAAAAAATAGTGCTCGATACAAAAGTAGAGCATAAATATAATTATTTATTTAAAAATATGATTACTACACGCTACATAAGAGTTCTCATAATGAGAACTCTTATGTAGCCTGTTGGAATCATATTTTTAAATAAATAATATATATATATATATATATATATATATATATATATATATATATATACACTACCAAGATTTGTCCGCTCGTAATCGCTTCGCAAAGGAAGATATATTCACTACTTGAAGTTTTTGAACTAAAAATTTTAAATGAAAATTTCATTCATAAATTGGCTTGTTATAGTTAAGGAAGTTCTACAAATAGATGCCAACTTGTTGAAGGCCAAGTAAAATACAAATTTCAAACAGTTTTCTGTACTATATAAGTCAATATTTCTAAACAGAAATATCTTAGTTATGAAAATCAAAACAATCCTTGAACACTAATGAAGGACTGTTAATTAATGAAATATACTTTATATTAAAATCAATATACAAATTAGACCTGAATATTGATATCACCAATAAGTAGATAATATAATATATACTATATATCTTTGGTTTTTTTTTTGCGTATAAACTACTATAAAGTCGAGGTAGAGTTTTTGACCCCATAATTGGTTATTCCTGATATACTGGCTCCGGTAGCAGTGCGCCCGAAGATGGAACAAAGAGCAGTGATCCAAGTCTGCAGAAAACATGGTATCCCATCGATGATAGATCGCCAGTTCGCCATTACCATCTCTTGAGTTAGATGAATCTTCACGTCAATGGTGGGGGTTGACTGTCGTCTTACTCCTTCTTCGTATGTCACGTTGTCCAGCCACTTTTAAAGAATCCACTCATACACGCTTCTACATAGTAGTGCAATGCGAGGAATTTCAACCCCCCCCCACCTGACACACCCGCAGATCAGAAAAATTAGATCACTGCTTTTTGATCGTCCTTCGCGCGTACTAACAGTCAGTAGAGCAAGGGAACAGGAATGAAGATGAAACTTCGACCCCGTGACCGCAATAGGATCAACTATAAGTACGCATGAGCGGAAGGCAGTTTGACAAACCTAAATATATGTTATGGGAAAGTGCGGATAATTTTTGACTTACCCTCGAAGCAGTCATATAAAATACAATTTTTATTGTAACCGAATTTTGTACAATAATGGATCATATGCAAGATAGGTGAAGAATTCAACTAGAAAAATTGAAAATAAATCCAATGTATCTAAATACAAATTAGAAACATGTCATAGAAGACCATTCCATCTTAAAATAAATCAACAATGTTTTCACATCAGTTTGAGAATAAGCTTTATTAAATGGACGGCTGAATAATGTTTAGGAGAGATAACAAAAAGATAAAATTTATTAAGAGCTACAAAGGACAGGATATTGTGGAGAGCCATGATCACCTACGTCCTGAAGGGATACGGCACATCGAAGAAGAAGAATGTACTTGAGTAAATGGATGGCGACACAAGGTTTATGAGAGATAACAGAAAGACAAAATTTATTAAGAGCTACAAAGGGTAGGAAATTGTGGAGAGCCATGATCACCTACGTCCTGAAGGGGCACGTCACATCGAAGATGACGAATTATGCGCAATTATGAATCATATGCAATACAGGTGAGCAGTTCAACTAGAAAAATTGAAAATAAATACGCTGTATCTAAATATAAATTACGATAAACTACATCCAACAGCAAGGCCTCTGATCAGGAGGTTTTGTCGAGCGTGGAACCACCTCTTAATTACTGGTGTTCCCAGGTCCATCTATGGGCAAATAGTTATCTCCCAAACTGGAGTCAAATATCTATGAAAGTGTAAAAATAGGTTTTAATATCAGAAATACTTTGTAAAAATGATTACAAGCAATAAATAATTGATGGAAAAATTATTCTCAGCAGTACTTCTTAAAAAAAAATATTACCAGCAATACAAAGAGCTATACATTCTTGTGAAAAAATATTACCACCTACACATTTTTGGATGGGA